GTCTGAGAAAGAGGCGTGGTAGCTTACGGGAGTTTAGAGGGGTGCAACGTGAGACACTAGATTTTTCCGTCTGAGAAACTGGCGTGGTAGCTTAGGGGAGTTTAGAGGTAAAACGCTAACCCTAAGGATAAAAAACCAACCAAAACCAACCAACCGACCACCACAATAAACAGGGTCAGAGATCACCGGGGTCTGCCCGGTATATAAACGGGGTCAGAGATCACCGGGGTCTGCCCGGTATATAAAACAGCTCTCCGATCCGTTTCCCATTGGCTTCTGGTGATAGATACCGGTGATAGATAGTTGAACAGGAGATCCATGGCGATGGCAGGCAGTGTTTGAGCTATGATGAAGTATAAGAATGCTAGTAGTAATTTGAAGAGCTGTTGCTGCTGGTCTCTACTGTTCTTGGTTCATCATGCAATATGGGTATCAGCCTTTCGGCCACCGATGCTATCGGAAGAACTGGGATGCAGTCCGACCCTGTCCATGCTATTGGGACGAGAAGCCTTTTACTTTGATCCCCTCGGTATTGCCACCGATTCCAATTTTGCCCGTCTACGAGAAGCCGAATTGAAGCATGGTAGAGTTTCCATGTTGGCCAATCTCCATTTGGTCTTTCCACCCTTGCTACGACGAATCAACCTGCTCCTTTTGGACCAACAGCAACAGCAATTACTGCAAGCCGAAACAGAAAGATCCAAAATCATGACAGTGACGACTGCCATTGACATTCCAGATAAATTTCCCACAGATTCCATTGTCGACAATCTGCTATTCCTTCCCGAGCCAATCGACTACGTCAACATGATTGTCACTTGTGCCTTTCTGGAAGGATTCATCTTTTTTCAAAGAGATCCCAGAGACATGCCGGGAGACTACGGCACTGGGTACTTTGGAGTCCGCGATAAAGGAATTCACGAACGATCCCTAGTCGTCGAACTGGAACACGCACGTCTTGCCATGTTGGCAGTGGTAGGACAGTTGACGGCGGAACTCGTGTCGGGAAAGAGTTGGATGGAACAATGGGATGATATACTACAACAAATCACGGATGCAGCAGAGAAAATGCAATAAACATATATTCAGGATTTGGCAAAACAAAGCAAAATTCAAGATTTAATTCAAGTGACATCGTGGAACAAGAGACAACCAGAAGAGAACGATGATGGAACCTCTATCACCTACTTGACGACGACACCCATTCAAATGGCGGATGGAGCCAAGCACGACAACCATCTACAAGAAGGTCATCCGGAGGATGAATTCAATCACAGCACCCCCAAAAAGGGTGTCCATGAGGATGGTACTACCTTGCAAACACGTCTACACCACTTCCCCAACAGTGTTGGCTTGTGGCAAACCCGACCATTTTTGACGCCGCATTCTCACCAAGCAAGAAATGAGAGTACTGCCTCGTTTATCCTTTGATGGATCGTGCGTGCAGGCACCTTCTCGACAGGGGAGCTTGCCGGTATACTACTGTGTCCGCTCACGCAACAGTTCGCTACTGGTACCGCATCTAGCATAGCAAGGAGGCACAACCTAGCTACCGGTAGTTGTGAAAGCCTTCCAGGTACTCCCTAATTCAAGGCTGTTGCATACAAATTTCATCTAGGTATTGTTTATTAGGTAGGTTAATGCAATTCATGTGCCTAATGAGGCATGTGCAAGGCATTACATGTATTCGGATTTGTGGGAGGGATTGTCATGTATTGTATGTAAAGCAAATGATGTATTTTTCAACCGAAACAACGAATGGTTTCCTTGGCTCCCTTTCGAGCACTCTGCCCCCCTTTGAGTAGATACTGCTGATGCGTCTCTTCGGCCTGGTAGAATACCGCCGCTTGCTTCAACTCGATATCGTAGATATTGTTGCCTGAATTCAACTCTTGTTGGGCAATCGATCGTTGCTTTTCGGAGTGGTAGTAGAATCCATGACGATATTGTTGATTGGTGGTCTTGTTGTCCTGTTCTTGTTGATCATCTTCCTCGGCAAACAGGTTGCCAAACATATCATCGTCGTCCTCTGGAATGTTGCTGCCATTATTCTTGCTGGGATTGGGATTCGTAGCAGCGAGTCTCTCCAGAGCTACCCGCATGAGTTGATTGTAGGATACCACTGTTGAATCATAGACGACCATGATTGCTTCTCGATGCCTTGTCTTTCCGGTGCAGACATCCTCGTAGGTGGGATTGCTGACAGTTCCCTGAGTATAGCCCACACGAGTTCCAACAACTCCAGGAACCCTCATAAAGGCGAGTTCTCCACCCCAGAAGCAACCTAATGCCCAAGTGGAGATTTGGTATTTGTTATTGTTGTTGTCAGGCACATCCTCCAAGGATAGTGCATCGTCAATGCTGAGAACGGTAAACGAACAGTCATAGCTGGCACCTGCGAGAGGTGGATTGGCGTCTACAATCACAGTCTGTTGTTCTTCGTTGACTTGAAGCACTGCCAACTGAATTCCTCCTTGAAGCTTGAGTACAGTCCCCACTGGAGGCAGGCTTCCATCCTTTTGTAGGAATCTCCTGAGTTTGGATTTGGGTAGCTCCATGACGAGATCTTCATTTCGCTTCCCCCAACCGGCATCAATGGAAACATGTTGGACTTGATCGCCGACGGCTTTGTTCTGGACCAACTCGTGAAGGGCTGGAAGATAATTGCCCCATCCCACAATGAAACTGATCTTGCCACTGCGATCAAAGAGAGGCTCTGGTACCAGGCCGTTTTCCGGTGTCATGGTCAGATCAATAGTGACAATGTCGCCCACGGAAACCACACGGGGAGGTGCTGTTGTGGCACAGGAGGAACAGTGACAGGGCTCTTCTGCCCTCAGTTCATCATTGTCGTAGCTATTGCTGGATTTTCGAAGTACTTGACACATGTTCCGCAAAAATGAATAAGAATAAATGACCAAATCAGATAACAACTTGAATGAAGGGTAGCACCGATCTCTCAGCTAGCTACCGTAGCATAGCAGGGAATGGTTTGCTCGATTTGATTCTGGCTGAGACGGAGATAATGGAAAACCAATGGTTCATAAGAGGACCAGCATCCACAACCATCACATCCCTTCTTCGTAGCTTTGTAGAGGACACTGCTCGAGAGATCTTCTCCGGTGGAACACCTGATCTCGTGTCTTTCTCCCGCGCTTTGCTGGGAGTTTCTTCATTCCGGAAGCACTGTTGAAGCAGCACAGGAATTAAATCGAATGATTTAGAATCGTCCCCGACCTCTCCGCGACGTGCAATTCCATTCATGATTCGACCACATCGCCAAATCGACGTGGCACAGGATCTTCGAACTCATTCGAAATTGATCGCATCCAGCTGTTTCAGGCCAAAGGTGCTTGGGTGCTTTGGATCCCAGTTGGCTTTCCCGCGCGCAGCAAACTTCGGTCTCGTTTAGAGTCCAGTGGATCTTTTGGCGGTTCCAAAACAGCTTTACAAGATTCGATTGAGTCGAATGAGTCAATATTTCGGCAGCGTCATCGAGGCTAAAAGGGACCTCACTTCTGGTACAATAGGGAAAAGGTTGCTTTTGCACCACTCCAAGAAGGCAGAGCTGGATGGACAGGAGAGCTTATTATGTAGGAGGACCAGCCCAACTTGTAAAGTCTAACAATGCTGTGCAAACGTTCAAACAGCATCATCACTCATTGGAACAACCCTGGCCTGGTGGATGATTTTCAGCGCATTCCCCATCTCAAACTCAAGTTTGAGCTCTGATTTCTCCAATTTGTACTAGCCAACGCCTCAGAACTAGCTATCTTTGCATTCCATAAAGCTATATGTGGAATCTTCTGATGGGAAAGTCACTCTGCCAAAATCACGGGTCAGGTAGCCAACCAGGAGTGTGCTCGAACCACACCAAGTGCTCCATCCTGAATTGTAGACTATCAGCTGGCATTCATGTCAGGCAGATTGACAGCCAGAGCACCGGGAACATCAATCAAATCGGTGGCGCTGGGCAAACTGTATGTGCAAATTGACTCCGCAGGGCTGCTGCTATTGCAGATACGGTACAGAATCTACCATCCACCAAATTCCAGATGTTATGAGCACAAACACCCCCCCTCGTTGACTTCCACTTCCAATATGTCACCGTCCACACAGCCACTGGGCCACGAACAACCAATTACCAGTATCATCTTCTCTGTGCCGGTCCACTCTACAACAAGACTATAATCTTAGGTTATGTTCGCTAGCATCAAACAACCATGCCACACACTTTATTGATGGCTGCCACTGTCTAGTGTGGAGGTGTCTTCTTCCACTGGTGTCCCTTGCGAAGTCTTTTTCGCTCTGTGTCATGCTGAAGCATTTCTTGTAGCTGAAGTCCTCCTCGCTGCCGTCAATGCGCTGAACATGGAAGCAGTGCGACCCAAAACGATCGCGCTGAACAAAGATTGCCTTGACACCGCCTCCAATTTTGGAGTACGCTTTGGGATGACGCTGGAGAACCTTGTAAACCACTGTGAACTCTTCTGAGGTGAGGTAGGAGCGCGATCCCGCTAGTGAGCTGTGGGAAAGCCTCTCCGCATATTTTGCAAGGACCTCTTTGCAGTCTGCTTTCAAGCCACCCCGAGGACATGATTTCCATTCAGTCAGCGTGAAGCCTACATGTACCCTTTTGTGCATTTGTGCAGACATCAGGTAGCAACTGACTGCTGCTAGAACTATTTTCTGCACAAGGAACCCTGAACCCAAGAAGATACAACAACCGAGGCTCGTGCCGTAGGAGATTGTACTTAATTGAAATTTTCGCCGTCGAAGATCCACGACGTGTTTCAGAACGCAAGTCTCGTCTTGGATCAAACTGGTTTACCTTAGTACTGGTATCACTTGCGTCAAGCGAGCGCCACGGGGAATGATGTTTGGTCTGGAATAGGCTTCGAGGGCATCCTTTACTGGTACCCAAGGAGGGGCCGAGTCCTGCTGTCACCCTTGCAGGCAATGGTTGGCATTGCTTTCCAGCAAGCATTTGACAGACTGCTAGTTCATCTTCAAGATGTGGGTCCATAGACTGCAACTTCGTGTCTCCTCTTTGACCACAGATCGTTGACAACGAAGGCACCTTTCAATTCACCGACCAGGGAGCAACAAGGTTAATCCAAAGCTACTAAGAGGATTCAGGTACTGTCTTCACCTTTCATTCACGCGGTGGATAAATGTGAGTGTTGGCCCTCCGTCCTCTGGTCATGACCATATCAACTTTGGCGATGCTTCCTGCTGTGTTCGTCTTACAATAGATCGCCCCGTTGGGGTAAACTATGAGTTCACTTTCCAGAAGATGAACTTGGGAGACAGCATATATGTGTGCCAGTCCTAAAGATACCCTTAGCTCGCTAGGTTGAGTGCAGACTCAGGCTGAGTACAAACAGTTGGGGGAACCAAACCACTAATCAGTAAACTCAATATTGATCAAGCAACACAGTGCTCGCCTACCGGTAGCAAGCAACCAATAATAAGTGAAGTAGATTACAAGATGTGAGGATCCAAGAAAGTCAACTCGGGATGAGAACGAATGGCATCTTGCACATGGTGGAGGAAGGACGTGTGCTTGGAAGCTTGCACCTGGCGCACACTAGTATCTTCGTCCTTGAGCTTGTCTAAAGCATCCAACAAATTGGCCTCGTTCACCTGAAGGTTCTCCAAGAGGACCATGGCGGCATCAAGTTTGTTCTTCGATTCCAACTCTTCCATTTTCCAATGGATCTCCAAATCGTTCAATCGACCCAAATCTTCCAAGGCCGCGTTCATGTGGTTCTCAGAAAAGCCATCTCTAAGAGCCTTCTTCTTGAGGACGTGAGCCTGCAAACGTTCCTTCTTGGCGTGCTCCAACTCGTGTTGTGCTTCGTGGATTCTCTCCACCTGCTTATCTTCGTGCACCATGGTCGCACGAGCCAAAATCTCAATCATCTCCTCTTCTACGTGTCGCTCTTCCTCGGCATCGTGTTTGAGGACAATGTCGCACAAGAGCTTTTCTTGCAATCGCTTGTAGTCCTGCTGCAGTCGAGCCAGGGTATCGCCTTCCTCAAATTCGTTGCTGCTTGCAGTGTGAACAGGGCCCACCAGAGTTGTAACGATACCGGTAGCTCGGTGAGGCACTACCACAAAAGCCTCGGTAGCGACCACAGCGACGGCAAGCGAGATGAGATTAGTTTGGATCCTCATGGTTTCTTGCTTTTTTATGAGAGCAGTTGCCTCATCGTGCTAATGGCTTCTTGTTGATCCTGACAGGGGTTCCCAAATACCACCGTATCTTCACCAACAGTTTGTTGTCCTTTTGACCTCGGCAGGTTAACTGCCTGAGTTCTCAACCCCTTTATTACTATTTCCTATTCCGGTGAAGCCAAAATATAGGGATAGAGATAGTCATAAGCCAACCGAACTGATAATTGAAGGTTCTACAAATTTAAGGGTAGGAATAAATCATGATTATTCAAGGTTAGTGCACTCAACACAATAAGCCAGCACAAGCTACAAAAGTTACAGTTCCATAAGGGAATGACAGCTGTAAAATTATGGTTAGCGGGCGGCAACACACGACTTCGCTACAAAAGTTACAGTTCCATAAGGGAATGACAGCTGTAAAATTATGGTTAGCGGGCGGCAACACACGACGAAGTCGGGTGTTGTCGCCAGGGCTAGCTTAAATAAATAAAAAAGAAGGTTATAATGAGGGAATGGTACCGGGCGGCAACACACGACGGAGTTGGGTGTTGTCGCCAGGGCTACCTTGAAAGAAGGGTGCAATCTCAAACATATCATCCTTCTTCTATTTGTCTTTCTGCCGAGGTATCGCAGCTCCCGCTGACTTAATCCAGGGAGAATCCAGAATAGCCTACATTGTAGCTGCCGTAGCCAGAATAACGGTTGCACGGAAGGGAGGAAAAGGGTCGAAGGATCCTTCAAAAAGCGTTCTCATTGTTAACCCTAAATCGAACCTGTAGTGCAGAATAATTCTCATTGTTAACCCTAACTCCTACCTGCCAATTGCCCGTATTTTTGAGAGATTCGGCTTTTTTTCAGCGTTGGTCTCCTGTTTCCTCAGTTTGCTGGCTACTTGGATCCATATGACGAATACATGCAATCCAGCCATTGTGGCCAGCTCTACGGTACCGTAGGCAGAGAGTTACATCGATCCGTGACAGTGGCAACAGAACCGAACACACTCAGGTTCCGCTTTACTGGCTACACTCGGTTACCTCGCATTGGATCCTTATGACGAATACATGCACAACCGAACATTGTCAATCCAGCCATTGTAGCTAGCTATCGTAGAGTTCATCGATCGGTGACAGTGGCAACAGTATTTGACTTGAGCATACAGGAAAATGGGTACCGACACAGAATCACCACCAAAACAGTGGAAATAACAAGAAGGGATGAATCCGGTAGGAGGATCACTCTCTTGTGTGTTGTTGCCTCTTTCGGTGGCTGTTGCCTTTCAAGACTCGACGACGATAGGCCCCTCTGTTCAGGCTGTTGGTAGGGCTGGAGTTAACAGAGCCTCCTTCTCCGTAGCGGTAGCCTCTCATCTTCTTGCTATCCGGCGCGATCGATCGATCGATCGGTCGTCAAAATGGACTCCATGCAATGGTAGTTCATCGGCCGTCAGCAGTGCAGAAAAACAACAAATAGATATGAGTTTTGTTTCTGTGCTGAACTGAAGAAAACCAGCGACTTACCCTTCTTTTCAAATTGCACCAACTTGGCCGTCATGGGCCGAGACTGACTGCCATCCCACGGTCCATAGGATTCAATGAGGGATGGCTTTTGAATTTGCACCAGAGAAGGACGGCTTGAGTGAGGCTTGAATAATAATAGAGGTGCGATCGATCGATTTGATTCGAATAATTAAAACCAACTCACCCGTTGACGGCCGAGCTCGGAATTCTCTCCTGTTTACCATAGGAATTGAATGAGGGAGAGAAGTCAGCGCTGTACCTTCAATTAACACTCTTGATAATAGGCTTACCTCATTGCGATCCATTCGATTGATTGTTCCAACACCATTCTTGTCGGCCAAGCTTGGATTTCTCTCCAGTTTGCCATAGCAATTCAATGAGCGAGAGAAGTCAGTGCTGCACCTTCAACAATGGATTTGGCTGGACCTGTACAGGCAGCTTCGGTTTTAAAGATTCAAACGCGTGCCAGGTTTTCTCATACACTTCTACGAGAGCTCGAGTTGGCACGCGTTTGCATCAATAAAATCGAAGCTGCTCGTACCGGTACGTGCGCATGCCATTGAATTGCTGTAGTTTAACCTTAACCATAAAACCATCAACGGTTCTTTCTATCCACGAATCAATCTAAATCTTTCGAAAGGGAACTTGTTACTTAATGATACACATGACCGTTGATTCTGCAACTGAAGTGCGGCTACTCTATTTTACACAGTAAACGCCGGCAAATCGATTCCAGAGCGCAACTGAGGGGGTAACCAAAAGGAGCGTGGTCTGGGAGACCAAATTGCACCTACTAGTATCAATTCATTCAATTCTGGACCCAACGGTAGTCTCACAGCTCACCAGGTTTAAACCTGCGAAGCATGACCATCATGCAGCGCCGCGTTTTGCCCACCAAAGTTGTCATTTTTTAGTGTCATGCACAATGGCTCATCAACTTCGTCGTCCTTTGGACTCGAGTGGGAGACGCCATGGGGAGAGCGTTGGGAGACGGTCTCATTCGCAGCAACAACGGGACTTCATTCGAGCGTTGATCTGCAGTGCCGTGGTTTCCGAGATCATATTGCTACGGTGGCTCGCCTCCTCATGGCCGCCTCTGGATCATCCAATTGGAGATGAGCCTCCGTTTTCGAAAGTCCTCTCCAGATCACAGGCTACCAGTACTACTATTACCGCGTCGCCGACAGAACCACCATATGACGGACCCTTATTTGGAGGGATCCCAGTCACCCTGAAATCGCGGCGTCCTCCATTCTCGGCGGTTCATTGCGTGGGAGACAACTTTGACTCCAGCAATGCGTGGATGCACCGGTCCTGTCACTTTACCAATCTGTGTTACGACCAAATAGACAAGGACGTTGTCTATCTAGTGTCTCCCAGAGAAGCTTCTCTGTTGGAGGCTCTGCAACAAAATGAAAACAAGAGATTTATGTCGCTATCCACTGTAAACGAAGATTCTGCCATTTCTCTGGGAATGCTGCCTTCTCCTGATTCCTCGTTTCAGTGGACGCCCAAAGTCAAAACAATCACGGATGTCTCAGAAGCGACAAGTTACTATGAGATGCCAGAAAATTTTGTATTCGTACCTTTTGCTACCGGTACTCTGGACGACAAGTCGCTAATTCATCATTGGGAACTTTACTTGGCAATCTACACGGCAATGTCAACCTTTGGCTTGGTTAAAAGTTCATCTGACAGCAAGTTCCTGGACAGCACACCTTTCTTGATGATTGACAAAAAATCCGACGCATCTTCAAGCAGTCTGGAATGCAAATCAACCAACAAGAATTGCTTTCACATACACAAACCAACACTTCCAATCTTCCTTGGAGCTGCTCATAATACGAATAATAATGATCCAACATCCAAAACAAGTGGCAAAAATCGCCTCTTAGATCCACAATCTACAAGATATGTTTGTGCCAGGAATACTGTCGCAGGAATGGGAAGGATTGCAGATCGTGGATTAAAAAAGACTACAACGCACAATAACGATCTCTTGACACCAAAGTACGGTCTTCCCAGCAATCTAGCAACTCACAATATGGCACAAGGCAAAGTCCTCAGGGACTTTCGAGAGTACATTCTACACAATCATGGCTGGAAAGAACATATTAGTGAGTTCAAAGGCTTTGCTCTCACAGTCACATTTTATGATGAAGCACGGGAAATGTTGCCAACCTACGCGACACAATTGGTACAAGTTGAAAGGAACCGAACCAGAATTGAGTTTCCACAAGTTGGATTTTTACAAGCACAGAAAATTACGTCTGATAACTTTTCCGACACAGTCAAGGCAATAGCAGACTCGGTAATGCTCGTGGTCCAGTGTTGCAGTGCAGATGCTGCTCTGGCGGCCAGCTTTTTGCCACAGGGAGCAACATTGATTGTGTATCTCGATGAACCAACCAATGGCAGCAAGGCTGCGTCAGACAGAAAACAAGAAATAATACGAGAGTCTCCACTCTGGGATTTGATTGACAATGCGGGATATTTCAAAACGAAATGGCTCGCGGTGGGGGCAGACACCATGTCCATAGCCAAAACCCTCCGAGCACTGAAAGAGGCCTCTGAAAAGCCTTCGGGTCATGGCGTAATAATCCACTAGCTAGCTTCTCCGCCACTTTCGTAATATCTTCCGTGGCATTTAGAGTATTAGGTTGGTTCCATCACGAATTTACTGCGGTTTTTTCCTGGGTGCTCTCGTCTCATCTCTTCCAGGAAGTAATCTGTCTCTTTGCCAACCTCCTGGTCTCACTAGTAATCGATTGCAAGTGCAAATCGTCCTGAGAGTTAGCCACAATGGATGCCCAGCAAGGCTGATCAGGGTCCAGAATCACATTCCAGCTAGGGCAGGAGTTCCCAAGATGAGAGTAAGAGACAATGCGTGCCATGTAGACAATCTGTATACTGGAACTAGTTTTGGGTTTGCTTTGTACCATAATTTACAGTTAGTTTAGTATTGACACTCGTGTTAGCCTTCCGGTATCGCATGACGAGTTTGTTTGGGCCACGAACATTAGCGAGTCTAGTCGCAAGGAAGCCTTCGGTCTGCGGCTGTCTGCAATCCATAACTAGCAGTCAGTCCAGTCTCATGCGTGTGATGTTAATTGTTGCAGTCTTTCAGCAGTTTCTTCATCATCATCTGTCGACCGACTCGTGGCCTGTAAGTATCTTCTAATCTGGTTGGCCGTAGACGGCTCAAACCACAACGTTATCCCCTCCTTTCTTCTCTTCCTCACAGGTTGACAGTATCATCGGCCAGGTACGTTCGATTGTATCTCGGTTTGTACTTCTTCGTGCTCCCGAGCTCGGATTGAATCGCCTGTAGGTCGGCCTTGAGGAATGTTGGTTGGGGAAGATTCCGTGCTCGGCACTTGAAGCAGGTTTCTGACTTGCAGTTTGCATAGTCGTGAGGGTCATTTCCAGCGGACGACTCCAGGTCCAGTATAGAGTCATCGACGGTATTTTCATCGTCCACAACAGAATAGTGAAGTCCACGCACAGCTTTTCGAGCTTTTTCCGAGTCCTGTACAGAAACAGAACTTGTGTATTGTCCGCTGGCATAAGATCGTGCTTGGAAGGCATCATCTTCATCGACATCCTCCATTTTGGGTGCAACTTTGGTGATGCTGTAGTGGACATATCGTGACTGATCGTCGGGATGACCTTCTTGTAGATTGCTGTCGTGCTTGGCTCCATCTTCGTGTTTGGCTCCATCTTCGTCCACCTCGACGAGATCCAGATCCACTCCAGAAGAATCTTCACATCGTTTGAAATTTCCTTGACGCTGCCTTTTTCTTCGTATCACAACCGCAGAAACCACCAGCAATACCACTGCTGCCCCGCAAATGGTGGCCGCCCCAATGATATGCCCTGGATTGGTGCCTTCATTGCCGGGTGACGATGATGACCCGCCACCCTGAATGGCCGATGCGGTTGTTGTGGTTGTTGTAGACGATGTATCATTTGGACCGCCACCACTGCCAGAACTAATGGATTCCCCACTACCATTTTCATTTGTGGCACCACCGCCGCCACTATTGACATTGATAATCACAGGAGGGCTTGCAATACCAGCACCACCGGTATCAATGCCTCCTCCTCCTGCTGCTGCATCACCACCAGCACCACCTAGTAGAAACCCCGAATACTGTGTCCCCACAACATTGCCCGAGACAAACTCGTTGCTCGATAGGAGCTCCAAGAGAATGGGTCCAAAGTACTGCACAATTTCACTGTGGGATTGAGCGCCAAATGATTTTTGAAAGGTGAGATCGCGTCGTCGTCGATCCATGTAGAAAATGGTGGGCGTGAATCCGGCAACAATCCTGTGACACTCTGCTCCATCAATGGTTTCAATGCTATCGTCAGTAGGGCAAGCATTATCATTTCGGGTATCAGCTGGAAGCGACGAGATGGCAAATGTTTCAAAGGGTGCCTCGGCGCTGGCTGCAAAGGAGAATGTACACGTGAGAACTTCTTTGGCCAGACTAGTGGCAATGGCCTGTTCCGTTTGTTGCATGCTTTTTTCTGCGTCGGTATTGGGAGTGATCCAAAGGAAGTATTCAAAAAGGGTAGCTTCCGTCTGCGGCGTGGACGCTGTGGCGGGAAGAGAGGTTTGGCAGGTATTATCTTGCCATAGAGATCCATCTTCTCGCGTCAATACCAACGAGGCAAAGGGAGTGACCGTAGGAGCCAACGTAGTGGGCATAATGGTGGGAGGAATGGAGGGTTGGTCTGTAGGAGCCAGTGTGGGAGTTGAAGAAGGCTGTTCTGTTGGCCTTTGCGATGGGGCTAAGGAAGGGGATGAACTGGGACGGTCACTGGGAACCCACGAGGGCTGATTGGATAGAGAGGGTTCCATGCTGATACTGGGAGCCTCCGAGGGTATTCCAGAAGGAGCATGCGAAGGGGCGCAGGTGATGCCGTATTTTTCCTGCATTTTCCGACAAGCCTTCAAACTGTCTTCCGAATCGTCCTTCTTGCGAGCAAATGTGGAGTCAAAATGTTGCCAAGAAAACATAGAATCACTGTTCAGCTTGCGATTTGGATTGTGGTGGCCCTTGAGGCGATTTGGCGGATCATAATAGGATGCTGTCACTGCTGGTAATTGGTCGTCTCGAGCGGCAACAAAGCAAAGCGCCCCAAGAGCAAGAAGGAATCTACCGCCAATCATGGTGATGTCTGTAGCAACAATAATGGCAAGAGTCGAGGCCAGGTTATCGGTACGATGATGGCTCGGAAGCTCTCAAGCAAAGCGACGCCGTGGGGTTGCTCCTTCACGCGAAGAAAATGACAGCTATCCACTCACTTGAGCGTTGCAACTTTTTTGAGAGCACCTCTCGACAAAAACCTTGCTGTCCAATCACTCATCAAGCTTGCACTTCTCACTCATGCAGCATTGGCTTGGACGGAGATGGGATCCCATGTGATTAGTCAGAACAGTTGACAGCCGTTAGAATACCCCTCCCATCCAAGACTTACCGAAAGCTCAACACGCACGGTCATCGGTCATGTTGCGCAGACCTTGCTTCGTCCGGGTGTTGCTGGCCAAGTTAGTTAGCAAGCTGTTCTGTATTGTGTGGCAATGTAAGGGTTTTAGAGTATGCAAGTTATCTCCGTTAGCAGTATGGATGTGTGGATCCTTCTCCGGCTGGCTATTCGAGGTCAGCATCGCCATGCTAGCTCTAGCTACATGTAGTACAGTGACAATACAGTAGGGAGGATCCATTTCATGCTTAGGTGTTGGAGATGGATCCTCTGACTGATATATTGGAACCAAGCCAGGTGCAAAGCAAGGGTATGTCAGCAAAAGAGCAAGAGAAAGCAGAAACCATAACAATATCAGTGCATCAGCAGTGAGCCTCCACAGTTTGAGTTAGGGCTTGTTCTCACTACCTGGTACCATTCTAGCATCATGCATTGTCTATTGGGGAACATGAGAATTCCCCTTCTAGCTACAGTATGCATAGTCTAGTTCTGCGAAGCGGCATGTTAATGTGTAGATGCAGGGCCAGCCAGCCATTTCCAAGTACACAGCGTACTGTACCACCTCCAACAGAATCACAGATTCAGTACATGTATTCTTTTTGTGCCATGGTGCCTGACCGGTACCGGTATTGAGGCCCTATTTTCAACCTCGATGTGCATCACAGCTTTGCAGGGGTTTCGGACAGAAAAAGGGATCTGCGCCATGGCGACTGGGTCGAGATCTGGCATTGACCTCGATTGCTACCAGTACCCATCCTTCTTCGATGCCAAAGTCAATCAAGAGACGGCACTAACCAGTATCGTACTAGTAGCTTTTGGCTACTAGAGAGAAGCCTCCAGCCCAGCTAGGTGTTTAAAAGTCGACAATCTATTATTTATTTCCACCCATTTAGTTAATATCTATTGATTGGTTTTGTTTGTCAAGATGACGATCGACGAGCGTCCCGAGTCGGTGGAAGAAGCCGGTGCCATGCTGGGAGCCGCCATTACTCTGTGTGGCACTGGGAATACTACGGTCAATGCACCTCCCAAGGGAATGCATTCTTCCTTTGGAACAGTTTCGGTTCCTTCTTCGGATCTGCTGGTGCGACTGTACTACTTGAGAGCCTTGCTCCGTGCTTCGCCACCCCAAGAACCTCTAGTGGCAGCACCCTCCCTGCTGGCTGTGCTCATGAAGTTGCTCGGTACATCCACGCAATTGGCCGCCAAAAATAGTAATTCCGCAGATGCATCCTCACGAGGAGAAGTTCCGCCCATGATCTCCAATCCACTTCGAAAATTGTGGGTGGAATGCGTGGTCCTGTGTCATCGCTTGGGAGAAGGCTTGTCGGGCAGTGCTCGCACCAGTCTATTTTCGTTTCTCAAAAACATGATTGCCTTGGCCGGCATGAATCCTCGAAGTGCCAAAGCCGGTGGTGGAGCCCGTATTGCGGCGCTCGATGCCATTGCAGGACTCTTTGAAGATGAAACATTGGCCTCCAAAATATCGGGATGGGCGCACGATGTACTGCAGCTATGTCTGCGGGCACTGCGATCCAGTGGAAATGGAGAACCGTCCTTTCGCATTTCCGCCATGAAAATGGGATGCACAGTGGCGAAAGCCTGTCGAGTGGCACAACTAAAACTCAAACCAGTAGATGGACCTTCTCAAAGGGCATTGCTCCTTCCAGGAGGAATGGAAGGACCTGCAGTGGTGGAAGCCATCAAAGTTCTAAAGCAGGCATCCAATGACAAATTTCCTGAAGTCAGGTCAGCTTGTGCCACGTTTGCAGCTCTCATGGCACCCATGCTGGTACTACCACCCAAAATTATGAGACCGAATTCCAGAGATCAGGAATCACCCAGTGCTGCCGTTGTCAATCTAGACGAAGTCATTGGCATTGCACTACGCAATATAGACGATGAATCTGCCGAAGTGGCCGAGGTGTGGTCCGAAGCACTGGCACGCTGTCTCTGTACAGCCATTGAAGTGGGACAACGAAAGGCTGAATCCGCAATGGCAAAAAGAGATGTCGAAGCCGATCAAGACGATCCACAACCAGGGGCACAATCTGGGTCGGCCAATACGGGACGGAATGCCAGGAAAAAGGAAACTGCCGTTGCACTGTGCAAGAATCACCGATCCGCCATTCTATTCTTGATCAAATACTTTGTCAAATCTGGAGGGGAGCTGTCGGCACCACGTGCGGGAGGATCCTTCTCCGTCGGAGGACGAGCGGTCCGCGTTGGGTTGGCCAATGCATTGGTGCATCTACTACGTATTCAATCTACTTTTGGTGGGATCGATGACGAAAATGGGATTTCCATGCCGGACTGTGTCAGACTCGTCTTGAAAATGTCGGGAGAGGAAGCCAGCAAACAGTTTCCACGAACCCCAGCTTCCACGCAAACATTGGATGTCACCACGCCAGTTACACCAGATTTCAAACCAGGAGGGGCTGGAAATGCTCTCTTTGGCAACAAGAAATCAGGAGCTGACGCTGGACTCGTACGGTTGGCCACTTGCAATGTTGTGCGGTTTGGCCTGGCGGAATTGGCTTCGGAAAATGCGCAGTTGAGTCTATTACAAGACCTGATTGGTCTTTTGAATCCTGCCGCTGTGACCGATCCATCCGAACTCAAATGCAATCCTCAGCAGCTGCAAGTTGTACTGGTGGAAATCTCGCATTTGCTCAGTGCCTTGGGAGAGGCTGCTGCCTCCAAGGTCGAAGATCTTGTCACAAACTTGAAAACATGCCTCTGTCATTCGTCGCATGGAGTAAGGCACGAAGCGGCTGTAGCTTGTGGGGCGCTCGCAGACAGCTTCCCGGCAACTGGAAGAGAATTTCTAGAATATGGAATGAACGAACTTCGGTCACAGCACACTGAACTGATGGGTGTCGCAAATCGTAGTGAAAGCGTCGAAGTGAACGATCCCAAGCGATCGTTTGGTCGCATGTTCCGACGGGCCAAGAAAGAGACGGAAAAGAAGGTGGTCGATCCCACTCTCGTACACCAATACACAATTCACGGCATTTCCCTTATGATGGCCATTGTTGCCCGAGACCTTCCGCAGACCTCTGGGGGGATATCGCGACAACTACTTTCAGATGTTCTGTCAGTGGCAGAGTTGCTGTCCGAATGGCAGTTCAATGATCTCGTAACCAAGGCGAACCCTGCAGTTGCCTGCACTTGCATCCGGGCCGGCTTTGGAATCATTACTGGTGTTTTGGCAACTGGACCAGTCGCCGTGCAACCGCACACAAAGAAGATTTTCGAAATATTCGACAAATCTTACAAAAGCTCGGCTAAGAATGGCAACAACTTCAGCACTGATCATGACCTGGGCTGTGTGGAAGTCGTTCTCACAGCCATCGTTGCCTTTTTGAGCTATGATTCCGAATTGCTTCTTTCAGTTCCTGAGGCGCTTTCGCAGGTATCAATCATGCTGGAAGAGCTGCTAGTGTTGTTTTCTTCCGGGGGGCGATTTGCAAAGGATTTTACGAACCCAGCAGCGATTACGCGGCTGAAAAGCGCGAAGGCCTCCCTTATGGAAGCTTTCGCATGGCTGCCTTCTGGTTCGTTCCCAATGGCAGCAGATGCCGTCTTCTCGTTTGCCGGAGAGCAAATCAAGAGAGCCATTGCTGGGGAAGTCACGTGTTCACTTCTCCCATCCTTAGTGTCCAAAGAGGATGTGCTGTTGGATGCAAAGTCTGTTTCTAGAGTCGACAGAGCAGGGCAGGTCGGAGGGGCTAAAGAAATCGAAGAGAGCATTGTCATTCTTACCTCAGAGACGGCTGATCACGGGGAAAGGGAGTCAGTTCTCCACTTTCCCGGATCCCATGTTGTTCAACCTTGGGAAAAGGAGTTTCGAAAGAGCCAGATCCTGGGCATGTTTGCTTACGATGCCACTCAGGCACCGCCAACACCTTTGCACGCCGCGGTCGGAACGTGGCGCAAACCGGTGGAAGTTTCTTGCTCTGCCACCGTTCGACTGCTAGATGCTGCTATCCAGGCTTACGCTGCAACTTTTGGTCTGAAAGGCGGTATGGAGCAACAGGAAGCAATGGATATGCTTGCTCTGGTAAGTGAAGAAGTTGTGTCACGCCCATGACAACTGATCATGATGGAAGCATACAGCTGACGTGTCATCGCTTCCTCCTAGCTTGTGCCTCCGTTCTTAACCCAATTGGCCAGTGTGATCGGGTTGAACACAACGCTTTCGGAGCCCGCGAGTCGAACAAAGGTTAGCTCGCTTTTTTGGAGTTGTATATCTGTAGCGGTGACGATCTAACTTTTGCATGCACTGGTTTTTGACTTGTCAGGCGAAAGAAGACAATGCAGCTGTTGCAAACATCACCGCTGTACTCCTTTCCTGCTTGAAAGCATTGCCGCTCCACGAGGCGACCCACAATGTGAGTTACTGTATAGCTGGGGCTTCGGACGTAAACAGCCACTTCTTACAATTCTGGCTCTACACGTGCACCCTTGGCAGGTTCCTATCGGCCTAGGCCCCCCTTGGATGAATAAAGCGAAGGATCTTCTGTTGACACTGCTCCCGTCGGCTTCAAATGTAGTGCGCCGAGCCGCTGCCGAAGGATTGGCGCTTCTTGCCACACTGGGAGTGAGCGAAGATGCACACTTCCTTCAATCCGCTGTGCTTCATTCGCTCGACGAAGTCATGCGAGGAAACCAGCCAGATGGAAAGCCAAGGACCTTGCCCTTGGAGCCGATCTCGGCGTCGCGGGCGGGTTCTCTTCTAACATTAGCCTGTATTCAACGAATGGCGCAGACAGTCAACGAGAAAAAACTCGTAAGGCAATTCCTACTGCTAATTCCATCTTCCGGTATACCCACTTTGCTGTCCTGCTTTTCTCACTTCTGATCCTTCTTCTTCACGATTTCTAATCTAGGGCCGTAACAAAGGGCGTGCACTAAGCGCCGAGGAAATCATCTTGCAGGCAGAAGAGGCTCTTCCAACATTGCAAATGATGACTCGAATATTGCCCTCTGTAACCAGACAAGGTTTCCGAGATTTCTTCATTGTTCAAACCCACGCGCTTCACTCGTTCGGCTTACTCCTCGGATATTCTTCAAAGCTGGAAAGAGAGAAGGATAAACTGGAACCAGAGGACTTGCAATTATTGAGGAAAGGGGTAGAGCTAGTGGAGGATAACTTTCTGGCAACTTGGACTGTTGCATCGGTGGAATTCGATGCGGGTCAGGAGGTAAGGAGAATGTGAATTCGATCCGTTGCTGTTGAAGGCTTTGCTACGTCTCACTCCTTTCGGCACCGCGAATTAGGCCGAGAAACTGGCCGCAGAAGCGTCCTTTCTTGCCGTCTTGTTGCGCTTGATGGCTCTTCTCGTCCCTTCCCTCCACCATATTTCCGACAACCAGGGCGTTGCGACTCGGTTTTCAGCCATGGCCACAATAATCTTGGAAGCGATGGGTGCGCACCCTGTTGTGAGCATCGAGGGAATGGCTTTCTTTGAAGTGTTGGCCGGAATCCAAGACATGTTGCCGCCCCCTTCACAAAACCTACTGGACACTGACAACCCCCTCACTTCCTGCGTGCCTTACTTTGATTCCAGCCTGAAACCGCGCTACGCAGGACTGTTTGCAGTTCCGAGATGGCAAGATATGGGTGGTTGCCTTTCTTCAACACGAGGCATTAGAGCTGTCTTGCGTGCAATCAAAGTCATGTCGCTTTCAGGGGTCTGGGAGGAGAATGATGTGCACTTCATGAAGGCCATCTTCGCTTTTCTGGAAGGGACCTGTGCGTCCAGATGTTATTCGAATGCCACATTGCACACACGGGATTAGTTTTAGTATGAGGAGAGATGGAGGACTTGACTCGCTCGGGAAACCGCTGGTTGAGCACCATACATCTTGAAAAAGTGCAACAACTCTCCGCCCACGGCACTGAATATCAGTCCAACGAGCTTTGTTTTCTGAACCAGCAGCCGAATTGCTGCCAGGGCTTGAAGCTGTTTCTCCGGGTTTTGTGTATCAAGCAGCACATTCTTCAACACGTCCATACTGCCAGATGCCGTGAGACCATCGTCTACTGCGCAGACAGAACACCATGTCTCCCAGTCACCCATTTTGGCAAGCTCGTGGGCGACTACGCGTCGATCCTTGGCTTCCACAGACTTGTGTGAGAGACAGGCCTTCAGAAGCTGTCTTGCAGCACTGTTCACGCCTTCCGGCACTCCTTTCTCCGATTCTTGCACTTCAAGCGCAATTTGAGTCATGGACTTTACAAAGGCGTCACTTGATTTGGAGAGCGCAACCAATGTTCCTGCGGCCGAGAGACAAGTTGACACGATCAAATCAACGTGCCTTTGTCCAAACTCGATTGCCCCCCGTTGCAGCAGATCCAACGGAGTCAGGATAGACATGAGAAGGGAAGATGAAGCCTTGGCTGCGGAGGCGGCAACGTGCTGGATCATGTCACACATTTCCTTGATGACAGTGGCCTGGCGGCCCTCAGGCAACCGGGCAAACCCACCCTTCAGATCCGACGATGCTCGATCCAACGCTGGCGACAACACCGATATCCGAAGGCGACTGAGGATTTGGTCCACGTTGATTGGAACCCCCAAAATGCCCTGTTCTGTTCCTTCGACAAAGACACGAAGACTATACATGCAGTTGACAGCAACATCCGAGCTGTCAATGCCACCACACCATCCTGAAGTCTTGGAGAAATCATGGTTTCCGAATTCGGTCAGCGAGTCGTTGAGCCCTTCGAACATCAGGGGAGCAAGTTTCTGCACCCATGTTCTACATGCTGCTTTCCTGTCGTCGTCCCTTTCTTCTGCTGCCATCTTGGCGAGCGTCCTAAGAGCGAAGCAGCCACAAGAAGACCACGCAGTCACCAATGCCGCCTTTACCGAATCATCCAAGTCGTGCACGTTACCAAACAAAAACCCAGTTTCAACCTGCTGCGACACTTTCCCCTGACCTGACACGGAACCGCAAAGTGTTGCTCCAGCGTCAAGAAGAAGGCGCGCCCCATCGAACGCGACCGCTGCGGCGTAAACGGCGAGGCCTGCTTCGTCTTCGACAAGCTTCCTTGCTGCGCTTATGTTGGTTTGGCTCTGGCATCTCTCGGAAAGGAGCATTCCAGCTGTCCAAACTCGACCGATTTTTACTAGATTGGTCGAGTTCTCAGATTCTTCGCCGTCGTCAGGGAACGACTTCCCATATTCAAAGAAAGGAGTGTCCTTTCCTAGAGGAATTGTGGGGCGAATGATACGTTTGATTGCCATCGGATCTTTCGTCAACTCGCTCTCTACGATTGTTTCGATTGCCTCGCAGCCTCCGTAGAACAATCGATAGGATGCCTCGTCTGAGATATCTTCGGGGTCGCCTAGAGAGTGCTTTACGGAAGACAAGATCTGCGTAGTGAATTGATCCAGCATAGCCGCATCAGGTTCCTGCGGGTCCTGAACTCCGCGAAAACATGCAACAAGGTTCGACAGGAGGAGTACTGCTGCGAGTTGGAGTGTTGGAAGCTCCGCTTGATCCACAGCAGCAACGGCAGATGTGCATGCAAGCGAAACAATGCCGCTAAGATGGAACGCAAGACGTGAACTTGGATTGCTCGAAGATGCAGCCAGGGCCCTTTTGATCTCGTTCTCGGCGGCACTGTAACTGAAATCCGGAGATTCAGCATTGCTTGTGCTACAGCTTTGGCGCATCTCCGTGAGAGCAGCGGTGGCAAGAACAATTGAAAGGCTCTTCAGTTGCCAACGAATTTGGCCGACATGTTGCAGAACATAGCGTGCGTCGCTGATCGCGGAGTTGTCAGCATTTCTGATTATTCCCTGGACAGAGGTCGTGTCAACATCTTCTGGTTCCCGTTCTCCACCGCCAGCAGTCGCTCCGGCGACCAGCGACCGAGCAAACAGTATTGTGTGCAAACGACCAGACGACGGCCTTACCGAAACAAGCGCTTGCAAGACATTCGCCGCTTCCTTTTCAACCGCCAAGCTCTCGACAGCCGCGAGCTCGGAGGCACGCGGAGCCGCAAGAG